AAACGGTTCGTAAAGCCGACAAAAAGTGTTTTCGTAGTGTGTGAGTGTGTGTGTTTCTGTGTGCGTGTGTGCAATATTATTTGTACGCCTGCACCGACTCGCGAGCTATGCGATCTTGACGAAACATCATAATCGTATATAATATCTTCGTAAATGAATCATCGTCATTGACAGCTATCTAGGAAAATAATATTATACTCGTACAGAGTGTCGGCGAAAAAAAATTGTCTTTTATTTTTCCCGCACGTGTGAGCGGACGAAAATCGCAAACGGAAAATAATATAATATTTAAAAAAATAATAGTCACCGCAAGATGAATTCGTATTTCGAGCAGAGCGGTTTCTACGGTGGACATCACCATCACCAGTCGTCGTCCGCGCACCACCACGACCAGAACGCCGTGGCGGCCGCGTACCGCTTTCCCATCGGTCTGGGCATGTCGCCGTACGCGTCGTCGCACAGGCCAAACCCTCCACTCGATTAAGTTACACTATACGACAACATCAATACTGGACTAAGCGATAATTATTATTAAATACAATACAGAATATGCGTGCAACACCGAATCAGAAAAATAAATAATAATAATAACAAACAATATACCTATATATGTTGTACCTAATGTTTAATACTTTATTTAATGTACATTAAACGTTTTGTTATACCGCACATCATAATAAACTATTAATATAGTATACAAATATAAATTTGTATTGAGTAGAATAATTTATACTTATTGTAAATCGTTAAATCGTGTAGAGACTATAGGTATATATCTATCAAGTGTCTATTAAATGTATTTTACATAATTAGTAATTAAGATTACAAGACTGTTTTATATTTATATATATGTGTACGATGCACGAAATAATTGAATATAACATAGATTCTATAGTGTGGTTAAATTAATTATTTTCAGTTATCGTTAAAAGGAAATCTAGCAATCAGTTGTTTATAAATAAATATATGTATATACATCCAAAGCCAGTTACCAGATATAGA